CCCCACCCATGCACTAGGCCTCTATCCTACATAGTAAAAGGGTAATATGCCTCCCAGCACTGGGATCAGCGGAGCCAAGAGGCCTCCTGGCACCGGGATCAGCGTGACAGGGAGCAGCGCCCAAACCCCAAGATCGCCCTGCGGCTGTGTGTGTGACAGAGGGCAGGGCCACAACCTCCTTATCCGCCCTACTCTGTTCGTGACAGGGAAAGGCACCCCAACCCCCTGATCAGCCCTGCTCTGTGCCTGATGGGGGGAGCTCCCCAACCCCCTGATCGCCCTGCGGCTCTGTGTGTGACAGGGTGCAGCACCCCAACCCCCTGATCGGCCCTGCTCTGTGTGTGACAGGGTGCGGTGCCCCAACCTCCCCCCGCCACGGGCCTTGCTCTGTGTGTGACAGGGTAGAGCCATAACCTCCCCATCCGCCCTGCCCTGTGTGTGACAGTGGCGGCGCCCCAACCCCCTGATCGGCCCTGCTCCGTGGGTGCTAGAGGGCAGCGCCAAAACCACCCCCCACGGGCCCTGCTCTGTGTGTGACAGGGTAGAGCCATAACCTCCCCATCGGCCCTGCCCTGAGTGTGACAGGGTGCGGCGCCCCAACTCCCTGATCCGCCCTCCTCTGTGTGTGACAGGGGGGAGCTCCCCAACCCCCTGATCGACCATGCTCTGTGCATGACAGAGGGGAGCTCCCAACCCCCCTGATCGACCCTGCTCTGTGCGTGACAGGGTACGGAGCCCCAACCCCCCTGATGGGCCCTGCTCTGTGAGTGACAGGGTGCGGCGCCCCAACCTCCCCCCACCATGGGCCTTGCTCTGTATGTGACAGGGTAGAGCCATAACCCCCCCATCGATCCTGCCTTGAGTGTGACAGGGGGCGGTACCCCAACCCTCCAATCGGCCCTACCCTGAGCGTGACTGAGGGTGGCATCGCAACCTCCTCATCTGCCCTGCTCTGTGCATGACAGGGGGCAGCGCCCCAACTCTCCAATCGGCCCCACTCTGAGCCCGACCAGGGGCTGCACCTAGGGATTGGGCCTGCCCTCTGCCACCCAGGAGCAGGCCTAAGCCAGCAGGTCTTTATCTCCCGAGGGGTCCCAGACTGCGAGAGGGCACAGGCCGGCCTGAGGGACCCTGCGCCCACCCGAGTGCACAAATTTTTGTGCACCGGGCCTCTAGTAATGAATATAAAGTGTTTAGCCCAGATCCTGAAACACAGTCAGGTTTCTTCAGCTATTTTCTTTCTTCAAAAATGTGAGCTCTTGGGCATAGAAACTTATTCTGGGCACTGAGAACAATGCCTGACACATAATAGGTGCTCCAACAATATTAATTGTATGGAAAATATGATGTTTGTCTCATTTTATTGGTTTTATTATTTGCTCATTTGTTTTAATTGTCAGCTACTTTTAGTGAATACAAAAGATGTTAAATATTATTTTTGATGTAATGACTTAAATATGAACATAATTTATCATGTTGTTTGGTCCAAGCTCAAATTTAATTTACTGCCATAATCTGAAAAAAAAAATTATTCTTTTATCTCCTGCATGGCATTACTAGTATGTCAGTTAAACCAATGTGAAGAGGGAACCAAGATGGCAGTGTAAATACACTCGATACTCTCATCCTCCCACAACCACATCAAAATTACAACTAAAATACAGAACAGCCATCATTTAGAACCACCTGCAATCTGGTGAACAGAAGTTCAACAACTAGAGAAGTAAAGAAGAAAGCACATTGAGACTGGTAGGAGAGGCAGAGGCCCAGAATAAGCTGGTCCGACACCCACATGTGGTGTTTTTTTAAATTGGCAAAGATATCTTGGCGTCAGAGGTGCCCTGTGAAGAGCACGGTGTCCCAACCCCACACCAGACCCCTCAGCCCAGGCTTCAAGTGCTGGGAAGAGAAATTCCCATAACTTCTGGCTGTAGCAACTAGCAGGGATTGTGGGTGAGTGACACAGAGACTGAAGGAGTCCTCGGCAGTTCCTCTTAAAGGGCTAGCACATTGATTTACCTGGACTCACTCCCTCTGAGTTCTAGCACTGGGGCAGCAGCTTGAAAGGAATCAGGGACATATGAGAGGAATTAAATTATCTGGCATCAGGGAAAGAACTCAGGGCAGCTTTCTCCCAGACAAAAGTGCTGAGACTTCCCTCAACAGAGCTGACTGACAGGTGCCATATCTGAGTCTCCATCAACCTGGCCCACACTGTTCACCCCACCCTGATGATCCCCTGATATTGCACCCCACCTAATTTGTAGTCACACCCAAATTGTTTCAGTGTCCTTTCCCAGATGAATGGTCTGTTCTGGCTCAGGTTTTAGACTTTCCTAAAATCTCTTAACAAGCAGCAGCTGGACTCAGTGTGCCCATAACTCTCAATAAGTGGCCCTAAGCCTGGTACTAGTAGCAGCTTGACAAAGTTCACAACTTGGCCTCTTCTGGGCACCTATAAGCCCAACACAAGTATCAGCCATCTGCAGATTACTCTGTAGCTCCTGACAGGCTGCCCCAGGCAGAACTGAGGCAATGGCTAACTCTGTACCTCCTCGGAGGCCCTAGAGCCAGTGAACCCAGTGGACAGTTTCATACCATGCCAGTTTACAAGGCTACCATATACACGAGTAACACACTCAAGGGGAAAAGTGAATACCAAAGCCCCTCTCAGGCAAGTCCTGCTCCATAGGGGTATCTCCTGCACAGCACCTCTTTTGCTGTAGTCACAGTTGGACCTCACAGCCAATTGACCTGGAGGTTGATTACTCCCAGTGACACCAACAGTAATCAAAGCTCAACCACAAGAGGACAGTGCACACAGCCTAAACAGGGGTGTACCTAGAGTGCCCATCTCAAATGAGTGGGGAGGCTGAGCCTCTGAACCCTACAAGACATCTACTTCACAAGGCCACTCTAGCAATACCAGGAGACATAGAAGCTCTACCTAATACATAGAAACAATCACAGGTAAGTAGCCAAAGTGCACAGACAAAGAAACATGTCACAAATGAAAGAACAGAAGAAATCTCCAGAAAAACAACTAAGTGAAACAGAAGCAAGCAAACTACTAGATATAGAATTCAAAACAATGGTCATAAGTATGCTCAAGGAACTTAATGAGAGCTTCAAAAAACTTGGTAAGAATTTCAAGGAAATTAGTGAGAAAATCAAAGACATGAAAAAGGACCAGTTAGAAATGAAGGATACACTAACTAAAACAAAGAATAATTTACAGGGATTCAACAATAGAGTAGAGGATGCTGAGAATCAAATTAGTGGTTTGGAATATGAGAAAGCAAGAAAACACCCATCCAGAAGAGTAAAAAGAAAAAAGAATCCAAAAATATGAAGATAGTGTAAGGAACCTCTGGGACAACTTCAAGTATACCAACATTCACATCATGGGGGTGCCAGAAGGAAAAGAGAAGGAGCAAGAAATTGATGCAGCTGGGTCAGGGAGCCCCAAAACTATCAATAAAAGCCCCAAGATCCAGCACCAGCACCAGCCTGGAACCCAAAGAGGCCCACACCAACACACATCACAATTAAAATGCCAAGAGCAAAAGACAAAGAGAGAATCTTAAAAGCAGCAAGGGAAAAGCAGTTAGTTACCTACAAGGGAGCACCAATACGACTGTCAGCTGATTTCTCAATAGAAACTTTACAGGCCAGAAGAGAGTAACAAGAAATATTCAAAGTGATGAATAGCAAGGACCTACATCCAAGATTACTCTACCCAGCAAAGCTATCATTCAGAATTGAAGGTCAGATAAAGAGCTTCACAGATTAAAAACAAAGTAAAGGAGTTCATCACCACCAAACCAATATTACATGAAATGCTGAAGGGTCTTCTTTAAAAAGAAGAAGGGAAAAAAAGACCAAACATATGAACAATAAAATGACAATAAATGCATATCTATCAATAATTGAATCTAAAAATAAAAACAAACAAAGAATCTAATGAACAAAATAAACTGACGAATAAAATAGAACCAGATGCATGGAAACATGGAACAAACTGACAAATCTCAGAGGGAAAGGGTGTGGGTGACAAGGAAGAGATTAACCAAAGATCTTATATGCATATATGCATTACCCATGGACACAGCCAATAGGGTAGTGAAGGCCTGGGGTGGGGCAGGATCTGGATGGTGGAGGGCAATGTGGCAGGGGAGGGGGGGCAGGGGGGGGAGGAGTGGGGGACATCTGTAATACTCTCAACAATAAATATATTTTTTAAAAAGCAATTTGAAGAGAAAAAGTATTTTTAAAAAGAGAGAAAAATATTTATGTGCAAATGTTTTATGAATGTATCACTTGTTAAAGGGTGAAAAGAGACACATTAGCAAATTCTTCAATGGCTGTGGAATTTGAATCATCAATGACTATTCAATTAATAAAATTAAAGATAAAACTAAGTAAAAGAGTCCTTTTCTAGAAATAGCAGATGTGGGAATCTCAGTAAAGACATAAACTAGGATTACAAAGAATTCTTTAGGGAATATATCCTCTTGCCCTGATCCTCCCAAAAAAGTTAAAACAAGAGAGTCTTAATCTTGTTTAGGAGATATGGAAGGATGTATTTCATTAAGGGGGAAAATATAACATTTTTATGGATAAGTATAATACATGGTGAATGAGGTGATTCTTATTAACTTACCCATCATTGTTAATATCTGATACTGCAACTGTATATCCAAAATAAGATGCCATCTGCAAAGGAAAAAACATAAGATGACATATTTTGTCATTTCAAAGTCATGTCTCAATTTTCCCTGAAATATTAATCTCATTGCAGCACATTTTTGCATTTAAATTCATAGACTCTTGGATATGGACAGAGTCTTGGAGTCATTTAACCTAACCCCTGACCCAATGCATAATTTTCCCCTCTAGTCCCCTGACATCCACTTGGACACCCTTGGAAGATGTTCAACAATCAGCCATTAAATTTGTGGACTCAGTTACTAGAATGTTCTTTACTAAAATTGGCCATTCTGTAATTTCTAGTCCATAAACCTACCTAGTTCTACAGATTTGAACCTCACAGAATAAATATAATTCCACTTCCATATGAAATCCCATATGGAAATATTTTTAGCCGGAATACCATCCTGGCCCCTTCTTCTTAGATATACTACATGTAATACCAAAAAGGAGTTGATAACCCATGAGCACACTGACACTCCTCTTAAGTAGGATTTACAATCTCTTCTTTGGCTCCTTTATATCATTGAAGAATAAAAAGGGATTTAATTTGGGGAACACTGCATTTCAGCATCAATTCATATTGAGTTTATTGTCAAGTAAGGATCCTACGTCTTTTATGAATGTAATCAGTGTATCACAATCTCCACATGTTCTAGCTCTTAAGTTTTTGTTTTTCAACCTATGCCTTCAAGATTTATAACGTTTTCAGATTTGGCCCATTGTTTCAGCTTTCCAGGATTTTTTTGGGGGGGTTCCATATTCTGCCATCCAGTGCTTTAGCCGAATTAGCCTCCCCATTAAAAGTGTGTTCCACAGAAGGCGAAGATGTTGGTCTGTGTTGTTCACTCTTCTGTCCTCACTGCCTGGCCAGGATTTATCTGACTCAAAGTAGGTGCCAGGTGGAAGACACTCTTCGCAAAGAGAATGCATTCAGGAGTGAACAAGTGTCACAGCAATTCAATCCTCCAACCTCTTTTCCCTATTCCAAACATTTACAGTCACATTCTTATTCCTGGTATGGCATTGTGTGGCCTTTGGCTGGAGGAATTTCATCACTTATGTATTAGGTTCTCAGGTTCAAGATTGCAGAAGTAGGTGATATTAAGGATGAGAAGTTATAGAAAGGCCAAATTTAACAACATTTAAGGAGCTTTTAATGTAAAACAAGTATAAAATGTAAAACAAATCTGGGCAAAGGAGAAGACTTGCCTGATTTTCACTAAACCATTATTACTACTTGGGAATAGTTGTTCAAAATACATAAATCCAGCCAATTTCACTATCATCTAAGCCTTATTTCTCCATATTTACCACAGGAGTATCATGAGAGCCATTGTTAAATGCTTTGTTGAAAATTGCAGAGTAATGGATAGACTATAGCCACAATTTATGGGGGAAGATGACAAAAATGCTCTGTGTTCATTGAAAAATTCAGGATCACTGACTCTGGCCAATACAGTGGGACATATGAGAAGCCTCGGTCTCCTCAGATGGAATATGGGAACCCAGAACTCACCACCAGGCACACTACATCCAGGGCGGCAATATAACAGGATTGCTCTCAAATCCCAACAGTTAGTGGCATTTGGGTTTTAAAGGTCATAATCTGTTTTTATATAACTTATCGCTGTCTGAAATGATAATGGGCATTTATTTATTTGTTAATTAATTGTCATCCTCCTCAACTACCACCCTGATAATGCTGCCTGAGAGCTGGATTCTTGTCTGTCAGATGCATGGTTATATTCACAGTGTCTAGAACAGCTTCCAGAACATAGTAGGTGCTCAGAAAATATTTTATAAAAGAATAAATTATATAAATATTACTATATGCTATTAGGACCAAGTGACATTATGTGATATTAAAATGTCTTTACCTGTTCACCAGTGAAATTCTGAATAAAAGTCATATCTGTAGAGTTAATGATTGAAACCTGAAAGCATAGAAATTAGGTAGGTTACATCATTTGATATAGAATTAGAGAAAAATTTAATTATAACTTAAATCATTTTTGGAAAAGAGTGATAAATGGTTAGCTATATGTAAAATTAAAATGTAAGCTCAGCCGAAACCGGTTTGGCTCAGTGGATAGAGCGTCGGCCTGCGGATTGAAGGGTCCCGGGTTCAATTCCAGTCAAGGGCATGTACCTTGGTTGTGGGCATATCCCCAGTGGGAGATGTGCAGGAGGCAGCTGATCAATGTTTCACTCTCATTGATGTTTCTAACTCTCTATCTCTCTCCCTTCCTCTCTGTAAAAAATCAATAAAATATATTTTTTTAAAAATGTAAGCTCATAAGAAGAGTGATCTTTTAAAAATCTTATTGAACTTTTTGTTTATGGTGAAGTCTGGGGATCCTTTCAGACAAAATACATGCTTATTACTCTGAAGTGGAGAAATAAAATTTGAATTCAAGAATGCTGGGAAAAATAAATTTCAAGGTCAGTTAACTGATCTAACCAGGATTTTTGTACAGACCCATTTTTTTGTATAGCTTCATTTTGTATAGATTCATGTTATTATGAGAAAAGATATTATTCATGAAGCAAAATTATTCCTTTTAATTCTATCCAGCTAAACCCAAACCCGGAAATATTAAAAGTATACTAGACTTCTAAAAATTAAACACTACTTAAAATATTTTTATTTTAAAAGTTTTTTTATAAGGTCTATTTATTGCCTTTTCCTAATTTGGGAGCAACTAGTTATAATGGATTTGAATAGTATCTTTCCAAAATCCATGCTGTTATTGGGAAGTAAGGTCTTTGTAGATTAAATAAGTTAAAGATCTTGAGATAAAATTATCCTGGATTTAGGGTAGGCCCCATATCTAATGCCTGCAGTCCTTACAGGAAAAGGACTGGACACGCACAGATACAGATGGAAGAAAGCTGTGAGATAACAATTGATTTTACTATTTCCACCATAGGAGACATACTAAAATGTTGGTCATATCAATAGTGGCGTCCTCTGATATTATCCCTAGATTATGCACAAGGATCTGGCTGCCTTCATAGGTGAGTGACCTGTGCAGTCACACCGGGCCCACCCTTGCGTTAATGCCCACTGTCACTGTCCTGAAAGTCTTAACACTTTTGAACAGGGGCCCTGCATTTTCTTGCACTGGGTCCCACCATTTATGTGGCTGTCCTGCACACAGATCAGAAAAAAGAACTAGCCTCCCTTTTAATGAGCAAACAAGTACAACTTAGTAGGGGCTTGCTGTATAAAGGGCATTTTAAAGGAGTTAAAAGTTGTATGAAACAAAACATTTCCATGCATGCATAAGAAAATATCCTGTAATGAAACCTTAGTACTCACATATCCAAAATTCTGTGCTCCTCTTGGAACTCCAGCAACCAATTCTGGTGATAAAAACAGTCATTTAGAAGGTAAGTTACCTATACCTACTTTGCAGCTACACAACAAATCAGTGAAAGATAGTTTTAAATGACTACATCTGTAGAGAGCTGGAAGTTTGAAGTCATGGTCTTGCATGCATTGGATTTTGTTTCTGCTGCAGACAAATAGAAAACAGAAGTCCAAAGCTGTACTTTGAGATTTAGCCGTCTCTGTCACCAGTCTCCATGTTTCTGCCTCCAGACCATACGCCTGGCTTCTCTCAGGTCTGCGTGTGATTTCTGGGTTAAACCTCTTACCCTGATTTCTCTAGCTTTCACAGCAGTGACAACTTTGTAACAGTTTAAAAAGTTAACAGTTCCTGTCACACTAAAATGTTAAAATAATTTTTATTTTTGAACATGATATGAGTCTGTCCCCTGGAGATGTTTGTTGGCAGAAGAATTAGGGGGCAACCTGGCATCCAAGAAAGAAAGATTCAATGATAGAGATACAGGAAACAACTCTGGCCGGAAGCGGGCAGGCATGCCAAGGCACACGGATCTGGCTGTCGATTCAGAAAGAAATGGTTTTGATTCTTTGCACTCTCATATACCTGGGATGAGTCATTGAAACTTTTTTTCCCAGTCCCTTGCAATAGGGGGAAGTTGGAATCTCTGATTATCAAAGATCTTTCCAGCTCTCATTTCTATAAATCCAACTATTATTTGATTAATCGGGGTTAAATTTTTAGTTTAATTTAAAGAAGAAGGCCCTGGAATTTTTTTTGCTCCTAAAGGTAGAGCTCAAATTCCAGCATTAATGTGCTGAACATTAGCAAAGTTGGGGGGTCATGCTGTTAGCATTAATAGAGGAGATTCATTTGGGGCTAGAGGTTGGACTTTTCGGTAGTATATTAACTCATTTAATCAATAAATATTTATAGGCACACAGAGAATACACAGTGAACAAAACACAAAATCCCCTGCTCTCATGGAACTAATAACCTAGTTGGAAGAGGCCATCAATTTAAAAAATAGAGCTGATTAAATGGTATGTTAGAAGCAGATGAGTATAGCAGAGAAAACCAAACAGTGCAATGGTACAGGAAGTGCAGTGTTGGGATGAGGAAGGACTTGTGATGTATTAGGTTAATCAGGGAACGACTTAAAGAAAAGGTGACACTTGAGCAAAGGCTAAAGAAAGTGGGGAAATAAAGATGAAAATCTGCCAGAACTATGTTCTAGTCAGGGGGAAGAAGTGCAAAGGTCCTGAGGTACAAATGTGTCTGGAATACTCAGAGGAAAGCAAGGAGGCCATGGTGGCTGGAGTAGAAGGAGAAAAGGGTAAAGGGGTAGGAGATGAAATCAAAGCAATTAGTGATTTCATGATTAGAGTTTTTTAGGTCATTGTGAAGATTTGGATTTTATCCCGAATTAGTCAGAACATCATTGTAAGCAAAGAAGTTTCACAATTTGATTTCTGTTTCTCCAGAGCCACTTTGGCTTCTGGGTTCAGGATAGACTCTAGGAGGGCAAAGGTGAATGCAGGGGGCCAGCTAGGAAGCTATTGCTGATACTTTAGTTGGAAGAGGCCATCAATTTTAAAAATAGAGGGTTTTTTTTCATTATGTCAGTGGATCAGAGTAGATGCTGAGAAGGAGGTGAGAAGTGGTCAGATTCTGGTCTTAATTTGAGAGTTTAGTTAGCAGGATTTGGTCAAGGATAAGGGGTGTGAGAGAAAGAACACAGTTCAAGGCTGACTTCAAAGTATTTGGTTTGAGCAACTGGGAGGTTGGCATTGCCACTTACTGAAATGGAGACGATGGAGGGGGGAGCATGTCAGTGGGGAAGGTCAGGAGTTCCGTTTTGAGCACTTTACGTTTAGGATAGCTATTTAGAGAGATGCTGAGCGTTGGACACATGAACTTGGAATTCAGTGTAAGCTGGAGAATTGACACTGGATGAGATTACTAGAGAGAATTCAATGAATAAAAATGAGTTGCAGTATTTAAACCTAGGTCATGTAGATGAGGTGGGGTAATTAAAGAGCAATCAGGGAGAGATGGAGGAGCTGCCACTCTCTGAGAAGCCAAGGAAAGAAATGAGGAGGGAGAGATTAACTCTGTCAAATGCTCCTGACAGTCACCAACAGCATGGCTTTCGTCTAAGTCATTTAATCATCTATATTTTTAATCATAGCACGGGACTACTGAACTAATATTTTATTGCTTAACTAGATTGCATAAGGATTGACATTCATTTGTATGCAATTCTTGAAGACTTAAAAATCTATGCCAAAGTGTATTTTTGTTTGTTTGTTTTTCTACAAAATTTCACATACATTCTGGGATTCCATCTATATACATGCTGTGTAAGAAAGAAAAGTACATTTGTAAAAGGTATTTTTGGGTCATGTTTACCTTTCTCCCATGTTTCATCAATAACTTACAGGCTACAATGTCTCTCACCTTGCTGAGCATCTCCTGTAAATTCCCCAGCAGCAACTGAATATCCTGTTTTCAAGAAAACAAAAATAAAGACAAATAATTATATGTTCGAAGCTTTATAAATAAATGAGCTATATCTCTAGAATAATTAAAGATCTACCATAGTACTGCTTTGTACAGAAATCTCAACAAATATTGTAGCATAAAAGATTAAGGTTGTATAAAGAGAAAAATTAATCACACCAATATGAACACTTTTGTTCTAAATCCTGGAAGCATAATATTTCTGACTGTGGCAACAGAGTCTGAGATCACTTTTGAAAGCAGGACTGCTTCATAACCCACCTTGAAGTATAAATGGCGACCAGTGCATTTTAGTCACTGATTCATCATGATCAGACATGCACCTCAGAAAGGTATCGCTTGTGTTCAGGTTTTGCTACTTCTGATCACCACCAAGGCCTATTTCCTAATTTATTTAATGATGGTTTTCCACAAATTTCACTTAGCTCTAAAGTGAGGTGAGATCACAAAACATAACTATTTTTTAAATGCATTGATCAAAATGCCTATTAGAATACCGCAGGTGGGAAACAATAGTGGTGAAATGGCCTTGTGTGGTTTGCACATGATGAATTTTCAAACATTCTAGCAACTGGAAAGTCTCTTGCTGTTGTAGAAACTAGAAAGGCAGCTATCATGTTGCCTGCATTGTAGTCCTGGGCAGCCCCACCAATACACAGTATCTATCACTGGAAAATATTTTATGTGTCAGAGGCTATTACGAAGCCTATAAAATAACTGTCAAATACAGTAGGTTATACACCATGACTGAATCAAAAGAAAGTTAAGTTAAGAGTTCATCTAAGCTAATAAGAAAAGAAAACACTTATAAGATGCCAAAATAATATCAGGTAACTGAGGAATAAACTATGTCCACACATTTAATATGTTTGTCTCTTGAGGAAACAAAAGTGTCTTGAGTTATCTCACCGAGGTAACTGTCATCGTTGGAAGTTGAAGCCACTTGTGTCTGTTTTTCTCGAGCCAGTTTCCTTAGAATATCCTTGAATGAGTAATTGTCAATGATGTCTGCAATACTGGCTGTGATCACCTGACCTGTGTTCAAACAAATTATTACATTAACTGCATGTCTGAACCTCTGAACAACACACACTCCTTTAAAAGTGATTATGGAATTGCTTGCATTTTCAATGATGGATTTTCTTCCTGCCACCAGAACTGCAAGTTGAAGTCGGTTACAGCTGGGAGAGCTTTCCATTCTGATGGAATAACCAAGGATGAACTATATAATCTATCTGTCTCCCTTCACCATACACAGCCCCCTACCTTCAAATGTCAAGCATATCTAAGAGTGAAGATATCTGTAGGCAAAATTTGTGTGATTACATTTTTATTCCAGGACCTTAGCTAGAACAAACATCATCCAGCTTTGATACCTTCAAGCCAAGTTATAACTTCTTACTCATGAGGAAACTGAGACCTAAAGAGCTTAAGTGCGTTCTCTAAGGTCACGTGGTGGTTTTGCTCCTAGGTATTTGGCATTACAACGCAGGTCTCCTTTGGCGTTCTTTCTAATTAGACTTTTTGTGTTCTCACATAATACAGATGGTTTAAATCTAAAGCATTTGATTAAAAATTGTGAAACATAGCTTTGTTAAAGGGAAAAATTACAAAATCTTTGAGCCATTTACTTTTTACACTAAAATGTACACATGGAGTATAATATTATGAAAGTGGGAAACAGCTAGGTATAGTGAGATCCGGAATTTTAGTAAAAAAAAAAAAAAAAAGGAATCCATGGCCACCAACATTGATATAACCAAAACTTTGGTTAAACTCTCCCATATAAAGCCACTATCAGAAGTCTTGAAATGGGATGAACAGAAGACAAAAAGATGGCCAGCAATTTCCCACTCCAATGTTCATGCCTTCCGATATCTGTTACGGACATCTAAGGAAAAAGTGTGATCTCATGCTCTTTGGGAGGAAAATAGAGGGATCCTTTCCAGAAACTAACATTTAACATTAATTTTAAAGCCAAGTTATTCTTTGGGAACTCATACATAATTCCCACAGTCTTGCTTAAAGTCCAAAAGGAATAAAACTGTCAAACTAGGCCATAAATATATCCAAATGACTGTGCCCGAATGACTGTTCTTATATTAAGACAATGGTATTTACACATGGATTTCTGAACAATGTCTGTCGAATTTGCCAATTTTCTCTAGGTTAAAGCTAAATACCCACTTCTGCCTTTTCTTGTTTCCTCTAGCTACTTCTATAAACATTACAGTCTTAAGACTGAATAAAATTTTAAATTATCTGTCTCAGAGAAATGCTTCCTTGATATGGCTAATTTTTGGCAAATCATCTGTATTAGGCATTTTCCAATTTAAGGAAAGAAAAAAATTAAATTAATCAAGTGATTACAAGGCAATCTTTTTAAATGCAATTTTTAAATACAATCTTAATTTTCTATCCATCCACTGCATAAATTATATTGTTTTTCGTTTGCAAAATAATTTTTAAAGGCTGAAATGCTAATTATTTGATGTTCATAGTTGTATATGTGTGAATTAAGCTTAACAGTAACTTCATATAAACTTTTATCATAAATTCATCTCTCCTGTGTCTTTCCCATTGCTTTTTAAACATAATCAGGTCTTTTGCAATTAAAAAAAAACACCCTCAGTCAATTATTCATCTTTCTCAGACTTTACTCTATCTTTATATTAAACTTTACAGCCAAAATTCAGTGTATATTCTCTATAATCTCTCATTAGGCATCCTGTCCGCAGCCATGGCTTCAGTTATCACATCATGTAAGTTTGTTGTTTATTCAGCCACATGAGGTTGGCTAAATAGGTTGGTGTGGACCAAATGTCTTCATGGATCTGTGTGCAAGATCATTTTCACACAGTCCCTCCTCTCTTCATCCAGTTACTTCCTACTCAGGGTTCAGATCTCAGTTCAGGATTGCTTCCAAATTAGTTAACCTGTGAATCAGAGGGCCTTAGCCTGGTAGCTCAGTGGGTTAGAGCATTCCGATATGCCAAGGTTGCAGATTCGATCCCCAGTTGGAACACTTATTAAGACTCAACCAGGCTTGGCTGATGTAGTCCCAAGAGGTCGCTGGTTCAATTCCCGGTCAGTGCATGGTCAGGGCAGGTGCTTGAGTTGTTTTCCTCCCACATTGAAGTCTCTCTCTCTCTCTCTCTCTCTCTCTCTCTCTCTCTCCCCACAATACTCTCTCTCTCTCTCTCTCTCTCCTCAATCAATAAATTTAAAAACCATAAGAATCAGAGTAACTCATCCCCTCTGGCAGATGCTATCCTGCCCCTGAATTCAGGTTTTCCTACTAAGCAGAACACAGGTTGTAGTCTAGCTCCCTATCAGCCAGTGTTCAGAGGATATAACACACCTACGTACAGCCACCCTGGAGGAGCTTCCCATACTCTCATGGCACCATCTTGACATACCCTTTCTTCATAGTGAGTATCATGCTTGGTGTTTCTTAATACTTGTATGAATATGCCTTTAATGCAGCGGTTCTCAACCTGTGGGTCGCGACCCCTTTGGCAGTCAAACGACCCTTTCACAGGGGTCGCCTAAGACCATCCTGCATATCAGATATCTACATGACGATTCATAGCAGTAGCAACATTACAGTTATGAAGTAGCAACAAAAGTAATTTTATGGTTGGGTCACAACATGAGGAACTGTATTTAAAGGGCCAGAAGGTTGAGAACCACTGCGTTAATGCCTGTGTCTTTCCCCAGGTCGTAGCCTCTGTGAGGGCAGGAACAATGTCTGATTTTACTCATTATTTTGTCCCAAAGCCTGGCATAGCCTCAGTAAATAGTTGGTGAATAAATGAATTAAGCTGCAACAGTATAACAAAGTACAAACTGAAATATTTCACTGAGTTGAGAAACTATGAACATAGATATGAAATTAGCATAATAAAAAGTCAATGTTTGATGTTCCTGGGCTTCATCCGCTTGTTAGTAACAACAAACAGGCATGTATTCTCTGCTGACAGGACATACCTTGCCAATAAAAACTCCCAGGTCCTCCTACTATAAGGTCTCCATTCTACAAAACAGAAATGGCAATAATTGGAAAAGAAAAACAGGTTTTTTTAAGGGTGATAAATCACTGTTAATAAGCTTTGTTCTAATAATTTCTTGGACATAAAAAAACAATTTTTAAAAGAGGCCATTATATCTGAGTCATGCAGGCCATTTTATTTTCCTTTTTTGCTTTCAATTATTTAGTGTGCTATATCATATACTTTTAATTTGACTTAACTAAGTGAGTTGAATTCTCTCCCTGGAGAATATATAATTTCAGTTATTTGGCACTGCCTCAGGTAAGCAAATTATCTACATATTTATGTACAATTAGCAGACATGGCCTTTTGAGCCTTGGCAGTAAAATGAAAATTCAGTTTCTATTTATCTCAAGGCCACAGTAAGGCCTATTTTTTCCATACACTTGCAAGCCCACCTTTCCCAAGAGAGAGAACAAAAACTAACAAATACAAATTTTCTTTCTTATTTACAACCCCACCTTCTATCCTCTGCATCCTTAACTTTCAGTGGGGAAAGTAAAAAAGACAACAATGTTGATGAAATTTATACTATTTTAAACCATGGAATATTTGCCTTCTATATTCTCACTAGACAACTCTGTCTTTAATTTTGTGAAAGGATATGTGAATTTTAACACGTTAAGCCAATCAATTACAGGGAAGAAATAAAACAATTTATAGATTCTTGTTAGCTTTTCAGAAGCACATTTCTCTATTGAATTTTTGAGATTTCTTTTTCATTAAAAAAAAATGATAACCTCAAGGGGTAGGAAGAAAAACTGTTGTTTTTCATCGTATGTATTTTTGTACAATTTTAATAAGTTGTCATATGCATAGCTTACTTTAATAGAAATAAAAAGTAAACAATAAAAGTTAAAGTTGCCAAAAGAAGCTAGATACAGACCTATAGTTTATTTTGGTGGTGATGGTTACTGAGGGGTTGTGGGTGGGAGTGGGAGTTGGAGGGAGAGGTAAAACAAAAATCAAACAGATAAGATAATATTAGAAGCTACAAGACCAAAGGAATTCACCTTATAAAAATCCAGACTAAATCCTGCTTGGCAGTAACCCTGGCCTTCAGGATCAGCATTACCTAGAATAACCAAAATACATGTTAATAATCAATTCAGGATATTCTGTCGTTTTCTTTATAGACTTCTCAATGCAAAATTGTCCATATGTGGTTTATATTTATTTCTAAATTCATTCCAAGTAATTTATTAAACATATTTTGGTCTATTTTCCTGTCCTAAATAACGTTGTGATTCTAGACGAATATCCACGGAAATAATGTCCCCTGGAATTATTATATTGGGTTTTAGAACTCATGTTTGTTTGAGGAAATAAAATCTCCATCTCTAACTATTTTCCAAGTGGCAGCAATGTGTTTCTGTGTTGCCCACATGTTCCTAGTGAAGCCGGACATGTCATTCTTAAAGGCAATGTCCTATTGAGAAAGGGGAGCTGAATGTGGCCACCTGTGTGGATGCTTTCTGTTCTGGGGTCACCAATAGGATTTCAATTTTGATCCTCTCTGACAGGAATTTAACTTTAACATATTCTATTGTCATTAGTAAAGTCAATTTGGAAATTGTATTTCTGGTTACAATGACTCTCACATGAACACTGCACTGCTAGTGTTCACAAAGAGAAAACTCTCTAGTGATGGCTTATTTTGTACTCTAGCCAATATAATTCACTAACTGAATGTCCAATAGGATCTTACAGAGTGGCAAACACGTGGATTCCCTAGATATTGTTATGAAAGTCTCTAGGACATTTGGATCAGGAATTTACTACTTGTCACTTATACTTTAAAGGAGTTCCCTACAACCTCTAAAGTGCTGAAATTAAAACCCAAATGTAGTTCAGTGGGGATGACCTTAATCATTATATGGTTGGATAGGAATATGTAACTAATATTACTTCTCTCTTATCAAGGATATTCCTGAGTGGAAACTAAAGTAAGCAGGCAGGAAAGGAAATGCACACCATCACAGGAAAAATGTATAGGCTGGACATGTGCATCTTCCAGAAGCTTTTAAAAATGGATCTGGTCTTTCCAGCTCTTCCTAGAATGTTTTCGGTTTTGTTTTGGGTTTCTTTTGTCATTACTTAGTTAATTTTAGCATTGTCATCATCCATTCTTTCCAGATGCTGCTTTTATATTTTAAAATAGTTTTCTACCTCAGACACTGTAGATTTTTTATGAGATCTGTTTTTAATTCAAATGTCAATTAATGCTTTGTGTATTTAAGCTAAGGTCTTATTTCAGCTTTATTAAGGTATACTCAATATACAAAAAAAATTATACTTTTTAATGTATACAGCTTGGTGAGTTTGGACATGTGCATACATCCATGATACCACCAGCACAGTCACCTTCTAAATTGTGTCCCTTGCTTTTTGTTGTTATTTTTGTGTGTGTGTTAAAAACAGTTGATATGAGTTTACACTCTTAACAAATTTTTACATTTTATTTTTTAAATATTTTTTTATGTTTCAATTACAGTTGACATGCAATATTTTATTAGTTTCAGATTAGTACATTAGTACATTAAGACATTCAGTTAGTATAGCCCAGTGGTTAGACATTACATAACTTGCTATGTGACCATCCCAATAAATCTCATACCTATCTGACACCAAACATAGTTCTTAGAATATTGACTATTTTCCCTATGCTGTACTTTATATGTCCATGAATATTCAGCAACAACAAATTAGTACTTCTTAATCCCTTCATCTTTTCACCCATCCCTCCCAAATCCTTCCAACCATCAAAATATTTTCTGTATCTATGATCTGTTTCTGTACTGCTTGTTCCTTTATTTTGTTTTTCAGATTCAATTGTTGATAGACATGTATTTATTGCCATTTTATTATTCATATTTTTATTCCTTTTTTTTTCCTTAAAGAAGACCTTCAACATTTCATGTAATACTGTTTTGGTGGTGATAAACTCCTTTAGCTTTTTCTTATTTGGGAAGCTCTTTATATGTCCTTCAATCCTAGATGATAGCTTTTCTAGGTAGAGTAATATTGGATGTAGGTCCTTGCTTTCATCACTTTGAATATTTCTTGCCAATCCCTCTGGCCTGGAAAGTTTCTGTTGAGAAATCAGCTTATATTCTTACGTGAGCTTCATTGTAGGTAACTAACTGCTTTTCTCTTGCTGCTTTTAAGATTCTCTCTTTGTATTTAAGCTTCTGCATCTTAATCATGATGTGTGTTAGTATGGGCCTCTTTGGATTCATCTTGTTTGGGACTCTCTATACTTCCTGCACTTATGTCTATTTCTTTCAACAAGTTAGGGAAGCTTTCTGTCATTATTTCTTCAAATAGGCTTTCAATTCCTTGCTCTTACTCTTTTTCTTCTGGTACCCCCATGAAACAAATGTTTGTACATCTGAAGTTGACCCAGAGGCTCTAGATGGTATCCTCATTTTTTTTTATTCTTTACTGCTGATTCCCTGTAAATTATTCTTTATTTCAGTTAGTTCATCCTTCATTTCTGACTAGTTCTTTTTTATGATTTCCATGTCAATTTATATGCCGTTTAAATTTTTACTAAATACACCTATTCTTCCCCTAAGTTCATTGAGCATTCTTGTAACCAGTGTTTTGCATTCTTGTAACCAGTGTTTTGAACTCTGCATCTAGTATATTGCTTGTCTCCATTTTGTTTAGTTCTTCTTCTGAATTGTTGTTCTATTATTTTATTTGGGCCATGTTTCTTTGTCTTCTCATTTTGGCAGCCTCCCTGTGTAATTATGTATTAGGTAGAGCTGCTACATCATTTGGGCTTGGTAGAGTGGCCTAATATAGGAGGTGTCCTGTAGGATCCAGTGGCACAGCTTCACCATTCACCCAAGCTGGGCACTCAGGTATGTCCCTCCCTTTCTCTAATGGGCTATGTATATTCTCCTGCTGTAGTTGAGCCTAGATTGCGGATGGTATGTCAGTGGGAAAGATTTACCACCAGGCCAGTCAGCTGCAAGGACTGACTGTGATCAACACAGAGGATCAGCTGTGCAGGGACCCAACCCACAGGCAAGACTTACTTCAGCAGGGCTCTGGTCCCACTGAGTCCACCTCTTGAATCTGTTGCTTGTGGAGGTGGGTGAGTGCTGCTTCAACATGTTCTAAAGCTGTCCACTGGGTGTTCTGGCTCTAGGGCCTCCAGGGAGATACAGGCCATGATCACCCACTCCCTCTGGCCACCCAGCATAAACTACAAAGCCACCTGCAGATGGCTGCTACTTGTACTGGCCTTTGAGGTGCCTAAAAGGGGTCAAGCTGTGAACCATGTCTGCCTCTAGTGCCAGGCTTGAGGCCACTTAGTGAGAGGTTGGGGCATGCTAAAGCCTGGTGCTGCTTGTTTGAGAGATTTTAGAAAAGTCTAAGGCAGCAGCGTCAACCTTTCAGACTTCACGGACCACCAGTGGTCCGTGAACCACCAGTTGGTGACCACTGGTCTAAAGCATGAGCCAAGAAAGGCCATACATATGGAAAAGCCACTGGAAACAGCCTTGGGTGGGACCACAAGTTCTTGTAAGTGTGGGGGGTCTCAGGGAATCACAAGTGGGGGCAATGATAGAGACTAGTTGATGGAGACTAAGATATGGTGCCCAGCTGCTGACTCTATGGAGGAAGTGTTCAGAAAAGGTACAATGGCCTCTGCCAGCACTTCTGTCTAAGAGAAAGCTGCCCCTCCTGATCCTCCCCATATTTCCCTGGTGCCTTTCAAGCTGCTGTCCAAGCACTGGAGCTCAGAGGAAACGAGTCTGTGTACAGGCCCACTAAGAGGACCTGCCTGGGCCTCTAGCAGCCCTCCTTCTCGGCCACAATTCCT